TCGGACACAGTAGGGACTCACAGAACACGTGTGCGACAAACGAACAACATATCAAGGACATAACAAAGTATTTGTCTGGCATCAAATAAGCTACTGAACTACGATGAACAACATACTATTCAATGTTACTCTTCTTACGTTTATTGGGAGCTGGTGGTCTTCTGAACACATTTCCAAAGTCTCCCCCCATATCCCCGAAGAGCGAGCCGAATCCACCGCTCGAATTCGGCGAACCCGCGAAAGGATTCTGGCCGCTTCTGCGACTCGACGCATCCGCCTTGCCCGACGTTCTACAGAGAGAGGACGTCAGTGAGTGCGTCAGGGTCGTTACCGTCTCACCGATAAAATCCAGAGTCCATTGGGTTTGCAAAACTATCCCTCATCGCGCTCCGTAAGAGCTCATCTAAATCCATGCCCATTGCTCTCTGACAGTCGGGAACAACATGTGCTACGAACAGAAAGAACAGCACGGAGACGCTCACCTTGAAGAGTTCCTGTGCTTCTTCCATTGACATTTGTCTATAATAAACATTGCCTAAGAACGGAGGCTGACTAATATTCCTCTAAACTATGCCTACCTTGAGTGAAGCCCTCACTGTCGGGGAAACCACCCCGTGCGAAGCCACTGCTTCCTGGGAACGGTCCAGAGGTCCCCGGGAACGGTCCCGAGGTTCCCGCGCTAGGACCAGTCGGCCTCTTTGTACCAGCGCCACCTCCATACGGAGATGAGCCGTTGTCGAATGCATCGTACCTGGAGTCAATGTAGGCTGCTTTCGAGTGAAAGACTATGTAACGAACTACTGCCCTAATACAACTCCAGTGGAGTGGCGGCAGTAGTAAGAGCAGTTAGGTTCGGACACTCACTGTCTGCGTTTGGACTCATCCCCGAGAGTCTGATAGGCCTCTCCTATGTTCTTGAAACGCTCCTCAGCTGCATCACGGTTATCCGGATTTCGATCTGGGTGCCACTTCATCGCTTGCTTACGATAGGCCTGAGGAGGAACTCATTCAGACAAGAGCAGCTACGGCTCGACCGGAGCTTACACCAGGGGACAGAAAAATATTGCCGTTCTAATATATACATATCGTTACGTTAGCAAAAATGATACAGCTCAGGACATCCTGCAAACCATCGTCATGTTGTAGGAACTACTCAGGCTTGGATAGTACTGACACAACTTGGCTCTACTCAGTCAATGAAAAAGTCCGAATGTGTTTTATCATCAATAACTACTGACTACGATCTCGCTAACTCGCGCTATGAACAGTGGGGAAGCGACGCAAGCAAACGAGCTCCGTAGACTGAGCGGTGTGAACACCAAAAGAGACGAGGCACCACGAAAGCTCACCCACATATATTTTGATGACTATTATATAATTATAACATAATTGTAATCATTTAAATTGAGACTTTACGATAGCTGACCTTCTTGATGTCATCTTGAGATGCATTGCGAGATACGCCCAATACACTGTAGTAGTCCTTAGGCCCACACTGGCTGGCGAAAGACCGTCTAAACACTGGAGAGGCCCGCCCATATATCAATAGTGACGGCGTTGAACGTGCGAAGAGGCGGGATGACAGGACCGCGACTGTCGGAGTTGCTGCTCGGAATGTGGAAGGATTAAGGAATGAATTTAGCATAGACAACGATGGTGAACAATATAGGCAGGGCCCCAGGAGGCACCCTTCTCATAAAACAAGGTAACTGAGGTACATCTCCAATTCTATGCTGACCAATACTTCGATTGAAAGCTGGGAAAATTCTCACCCTCTCGCCTCGCATCAAAGCTATATTCAGTGCTCAATAGTTGGACTCAACAATTCCCGCTTTGCATTGTCGCACGTTAGTCAGAATCTCGAAAATGACTGTTTCATCGTCCTGAAGCCGCTAGCCCAAAAATTGACCTTCACTTTACGGAACCCCGAGTGTCACCAACTTCTTCAACACATACTCCAGTGAACAGATAGAAAATTTAGTATATTCATACTATCGGGTCTTAGCGCGACCAATAATAATGCTATTTTTAGGAGTGCACGTCTCTGGTACTATACGGGACAGTGATACAGCATATCCGAAAGTGTCTCTAACATTGATGAGCCTATCAGTGTCAACCACTCGCATGCACGCACGCGCAATTCGATACTCTGCTCGTTGTGAATATTCGAAACCGTCTTTACCGTCTACCACTGAGTAGTCGGCCAACGATGCTACTGTCCTGAATTCATCTCCGCTCAAAACTCCTCCAACACCGTCGTGGCTCCGTGGTAGTTGCCCTACGCCTGCGCCTTCAGCACCGGCAATTTGCCCATAGCAGCACGGACATACCTATGAACAAATCGCTCAAACATTGTTCGGAAGCTCCTTCGTATAGTACTACAAAACTGCAGTTTCTGGTAGTGCAAAAGTCTATGATCATGTCAGTGAGGGCACCGCATGCATGTAGACCGATACCTAAACGACGTGGAATAGAATCAATCTGAAAAACTAAGGTAAACTAAACTAAGAACGTTTTAGTAATTTTTTGCAGGAAACATTAACTACGTCAAACATGAACCTCTGTAAGACTACTACTATCCTATAAGCTTTTCAATGTCTTCACTCCACCTACTCCTCCGTACTGTGTATAACATTACACAACGACAGTACTGATAGTGTATAACAGTACACAACGACAGTACTGATAGTGTATAACAGTACACAACGACAGTACTGATAGTGTATAACAGTACACAACGACAGTACTGATAGTGTATAACAGTATAATTAAACTCACTCTATGTCACTCGTATAACGTATATCCCCATGCTTTAATATCACTAAAGTATATACCACTAAAATTCATTAACGTTCAGTCAAATTAATTAGAATTCATAAAGCGTAGTCACCACGCTGAAATGACGTTAAGGCACTACACTTCTCTGTCCGAATCAATCCGATATTCATAAAGGAGAACATTACTACCTACGTCGCAAGGCCCATCATACTCCTGTATGCATCCACATATCACTTCTACCCTATCCTTCCTCCCCAGAGCCTGTACTCGATCTCTAGCCAAACCACATGTACCTGCAGACGAGTTCACCAACTTCCATTTCACCATTTAACTTCGGGACGATTTTAGACAGCAACGCCACCGTTTGAGGATCCAGCTCCCTGGCTGCGCACGTTACATTCGGATGAATACCTTCATGCACATCTTGCATCATGAACAACCATTTCATGTGTCACTCTATTAATAAAATTTATACATTACTTATGATAGCGCCTCATATATTAGCATAACATCTATTAAATGTAGATTAGTTGGTATGCTGAGAATATAGTGAAGTTTCACGACTGTGATATAAAAAAAACACAAGTATGTTCCACGACTGTGATATGGAAAACACAAGTATGTACCACGACTGTGATATGGAAAACACAAGTATGTTCCACGACTGTGATATGGAAAACACAAGTATGTTCCACGACTGTGATATGGAAAACACAAGTATGTTCCACGACTGTGATATGGAAAACACAAGTATGTTCCACGACTGTGATATGGAAAACACAAGTATGTTCCACGACTGTGATATGGAAAACACAAGTATGTTCCACGACTGTGATATGGAAAACACAAGTATGTTCCACGACTGTGATATGGAAAACACAAGTATGTTCCACGACTGTGATATGGAAAACACAAGTATGTTCCACGACTGTGATATGAAAAACACTAGTGAAAAGTAGGTTCCACGACTGTGATATGAAAAACACTAGTGAAAAGTAGGTTCCACGACTGTGATATGAAAAACACAAGTATATTTCACAACTACTGGGTAGCGCGAGTATCGCGTTTTTGGCAATGGATTACGCCACTTCACGCAGAGCGGGTGAAGCTGCATATAATTAGCATATGGAGAGTTTCAAAGCCTATATGATACCGCACCAATGTCAAATATAATATAATCTTTACTCGTACATTTATATTCAATTATAACATTCGTGGAACATTCTCCAGCATAAGAAGAGCTCAGTGAGCTTCCCCCCAAGGCCACTGCTATTCCCCATCTACCCCTTACTACCCGATCTCCTCTCTACTAGGACTACCTTCACATCTGGCCGCATGTACCCTACCAACAGGCCCAGATGACCCGACCCAGCACCGAAGTCAACTACTGTTGGCGGCCGAGACTCTGTCGTATTTGGTATCGCGGAAAGTACCGCAGCTACCATGCCCACTACCTACGATAGAACGCCAACTATAGCGCTCTGTGAAGACCCCCATCACCTGTTCTCGCTTCCTAGAACTCCTATCGGGGTAAAGGCATCCCATAGAAGGGTCCAATCCAACCGGTAGTGCCTTCCAATCCAATTGCAAGCCCGATGCCTCCTCGAAAGGTAAATCGCAACACTTCGAATCTACAATGAGAGTTCAGTGTAGAAGAATCGTCAACTACATAGATTGATGACAACTTGAAAAGAAAAGAAAGTGAAGCAACCTTTTGAGACTATGATATCGACGAGTTGTTGAGTATCATTAACCGCATATATTGGAGTTTCACCCTAGTGATATGGGAAAAAAACACACTAGCGAAAAACATATTTCACGACTACTGCAAGGCGCAAATATCGCGTTTTTCACGGAGTTTTACGCCATTCTACGTCAAACGGGTGAATCCATTGAAACCATACTTTCCCCACAACTACCTAGGACGCACTGTACAACCATTTTGATGATAACGCCAAGAGGTATTACCAATGACTCGATCAGCCAATACCCCAGCTAGCCTCATCCGTTCCTTTTTCTCTCTTCGTCGTCTTTCGAACCGGCCCGACATTGACGACTTTTCCTTAGTCGTACCACCCATGTTATACGATGACAATCCAACTACTTTCGACACGTTTCATAACAACTCCAGCCTTACCCTACAATCACTTCAAACGCAACTATTCTGTATCATATCAACTACCCTTGTAAAATGGATTACCATGGCATTCTACCGTGTCACCACACGTGTCACAACTGCTTGCTTATAACCTCATTCCCTAATCACACCTATAAAGTGGCACATCTGCCCATTTGCAGGGCCCCCTCGCCGAGGCCCCACGGGGCTGCCAAGGCCTCGCTCGCAGCAATATGCCCGCTTTCCTCAGCCGAGTATTGATACTCGCGCGATTAGCTTTCGGGAGCGGTCTCAAATCGTCCATAGTAATTACGACTTTCGGAAGAGCCCCAGCTGCAATTTCCTCGTTAGCAGTTCGGACTGACTTCGCGTAAATATCCGCAAAAACGATTCTGCTAACCTAAGAAATGTGAGAATATATGCGTTTGCTTTCCTCAGCTGAGCTCAAAAGTTTCCTCACTAATCATAGGAGTTTATACCCGAATTCAATTAGGAGTGTACAAAAACCAATGAGAACTCCCTCAGAATTTTCACATAGTCACCAACCATATGTACATTTTTCCACCCTAGATTAGAAGCACGAGGCAACCCCAAATTTACCTCCTCCACGGACAACTCAGTGAGCATGGGAACCGCCAAATCCTCATCGAACTCATCTGCTGTAATCGAAGCAAGCCCAACATCGACCACTCCAATGCGAACAGACACTGGACGAGTTCGTGGCGCAAGTTCGAATCCTAGCGACGGCACATTTCCCAACACTAGCGTCAGATGCATTAGTACTACCAGCCACCTTTTGGAACTGTATAACTTTGCCGTTCACCTCATCGGCCAGCTCCTTCGCTCCATACCATCTTTCCTTCACTAACGGCTCCTCAGCGTGTCTCACACAAACAGCTTTGACGAACCTGAGACGATTATATCACTCCAACGTTTTAACCCGCTCTAAAACGCCCAACGACGTTAATAGCGAAAGTATACCACCACCTTTCAATGATCTTCAAATCCTCAGCTGTCGCCCGATACTTCCGTTCCATTCCACAATAGGTAAAACTGCTACAGTAGCATACACATGAACTCACACTGTCTGAGCTCACGTGTATAGGCACAACATATACACAGCAACCGTGATATAGCACATCCACTGTAGCATTCACAGCACGCAACTTGAATGTTTGCATCTCAAAAACGCTTTTCCACGTTATACACATATCCGAACGCAGCGCTCTGGCCGACCTACCGTAGTGGTACAGTTGGAGTTTATGTTCGCTTCCTTCAGCTGAGCTCAGGAGTTTCCTCACTAATTATAGGAGTTTATATACGAATTGAAGTAGAAGTGTACAGAAACCAACGAGAATTTCCCTAAGAATTTTCATATTCTCACCAACACGCAGTTGACCATGTGTACATATTTTCCCACACTCCTAGTGAAAGTCGACGAAGTGCACACAACGCGGCACTGAGTATCAGAACCTTGCTCCGAATAGTGATAACAACAAACACCTCTCCTCAAAAGGCATGTTGGTCTCTTCCTCAATAGTTCCCATATAGGAACTGATCGCCTCATAAAACGCTGGGCTACATCACAACTTTACTTTACTATTTCGTCGACTTTTGATATACCATAGTTTCCACATATTATTATATGGTGTTGCTTTTTCTGTACCTAGCCGAGAAATGCCTGACAATTTCGATTCGATCAGCGATGATGAAAATCAACTACTATCACAAACAACCAAGCCACTTCCACGCAGAAGACGACCATGAAGAATCACTAATTACGGGGCGGGCGACGCATATAATCACACTATTTGCATTTTTTCGTGGGTTACACCTATTGAGCTCTCGAGACACAGACCCGGACCCAGTGTAGTTCATGTTTCAAAATGTTTAAACGTTCTCATCAACACCCTGTATCGTGTTTACAAAGTGCTCGAAAAAAGCGCGTGCCAAGAGTTGAACCCGGGACCACTACAAACAATCCGAGCTCCGTCTGGGAGGTCTAATACTAATGATTATGATAATATTTTTAATACTACTAATTAAACCATAGTGGTATAGTATTATACTAACAACATTCTGATAGTACGATGGTAATCCATTCCCCTATATACTATCAACAACCACTCACAGAACCATTGTATTACCTGTACTATGCCGACCAATGTCCGCAAATGCAGGATGGGCCTAAAATGTGATAGTAAACCCAAACTAGTTGCCAGCCCTCTCGGTCTACTACCCCCCCCCCCCATAGTGCCCCATCATTAGTATTATTACTAAATGGTAAAAAGGGCTAGTATGAGGGCATCTGTCTGTGCTTGTGGTCCCAAAAGGAAATACCCAACACAGTAAAATACCCGAGATCAGTCAAACCTTGACACACTACGGTAGATTTCGAGTCCCCAAGGTTTAATACCACTGTTGCTCGATTCCTCTCCTTTACTAAATACCGAAATTCACGGTTGCTGAGCTCGTTGTATATGAGGAAATATGTCCAGTCACTGCAGGAGGAGGATTTCCGATCCAACTGCCCCTGAGTGAGTAGTTTACGTTCATCTTTATTGGAAATTACTAGAACCCCATTTTTCTACGACATGTAGATCGGGCTTGCCCAAATATAGCCCCCAAACTGTACGACGACGTTGAAGAGCTGAATTCATGCGACATCCAACAATATACGATACAATTGACGAGTCCGAGTAAACGTTTGTATTTACACTGATATGAAATTTGAGGAGATCATCTCTGTGAGGACGATGCCCGAATAAGGACCACAGGTGGAGCATATGATGTGGTGTTCATCTCAATTGATTCCCACATAGTCGTCGTATCACCAAAATCCCACATCTACGACAGTTTACGCTCCCACGGGGAACTGGAAAAAGGGGCATCCTTCCCTAACGTGATTCGCCATAAATCTCGCTGGACCTGCCGAATTCGCACATAGCTCCAACTGCTCGTTCAAGCCGCTTGTTCGTTAGCTTATCACCAACACATGTGGTAGACCATGTGTGCATATTTCCCACGCTGATAAGCAATCCCCATGTGAAGACCATGGGCCTATTTCACAAGCGTCCTTAGATTAGGACGTCTTTACGTATAGGATTTTAACCTTAGGACGTCCTTACCTAGCTAAGGCTATTTCACAAGATTTTCCTTACCTAACGTTAGGATCCTATACTTAAAGACGTCCTTACCTAACGTGAGGATGTGCTAACTGAGGATATTAGGACTCCTAACGGCAATTAAACACAACGTAAAATATTATACAGCTACGAATCGAACCTGGATCGGTCGAACAACAGCCGCAAACTCTACCACCCCACCATTTTATACATGATATAAACTAAATAAGAATCCGACAAAGATAGTGCCACAAGGCGCCATTCAGCAGATTTAACAGATAAAACCTCTTTTATTATCAACTGATACGCGTAATGAATGATCCAGTAATGGACCATTATGGATCTTAACGTCTTCTGATATGGAGGGGTCTTGCAGTAAAAAAAGGCTTGACTCTACCGAAGATTAGCATTTGTAAGGAGTTTCATACGAAGTTTATAAGCTTCAGATAAGTATCGAACTTGGTAAAGAGTTTTGTTAATAGTTGTAAGATTTTTGTGCAAGTTACAAATTAATTTAAAAATGTGCTCGCAGAGTTTCGAACCAACGACTGTTTGACGGAACGTAGCGAGTCGTCTTGTACACCTTTAACGTTAGGATGGTCGGTAAAGTACCCCCCCGAGGTACTTTACCATTAGGATGAAAATTTCCTTAAAAATATAGCTTGTGAAAGCCGAGCGTCCTAACAGCCTGTTTTTGAGGATAAAGGCATCCTAATATCCTAAATCCTAAAGGTAAGGATCCTAATGTCCTAAAGTCCTAACCCAACCTAAGGAAAGTGCCCTTGTGAACGCCATTTATCCTTAAATTGCATCCTAATGGGTTAAAATCCTAACATTAGGATGCTTGTGAAATAGGCCCCATGTTGACCAATACCTTGGTCACTTGCTCTCTTACTTGATTCCCTAAGCATACTCGAACATGGAATGTTCATGGATTCATCTGCTGTGTGAACCTTTACCCTTATTGTTACCCTCTTGAGCAATAGTCATGGCACAGACCACGACGGTGGCGACCACTACACTAGCATGGACAACCCGGTCATTCGTATTAGTATACACTCCTATCAGTCTTCAGCGATGAGAGGTATGATATAGAATCGTTGAGAGTATCCACATGTCTGCTATTTCCTGACTCAATCCCACACCCTCATAGTGAATGGTTCAAGAGATTTAGTGACATAGCGTGGCGATTTTAGTGACATCGTCTGGAAAACCGGCATCTTGCAATCCTGCTCTCACTAGGTTGCAGAACAACATTTTATCACGAGAAACTTCGTGATCACTAACAGATTTCTACGTACGAGGGAGTTGGGTCACCAGTGAAAGATAAGCAACCTAGATCCC